ATCGAATTTGAATACCTAATGCAATTCATATTTGAATAATTTGCACTTCTCTTATGAAAATTCCCCTTTTTTTATTGCAGAATTAAATTTTTCTTAAAAAAAACATGAAACTTTTAGAAATACTTTTATCAAAAGAACATTTTAACAGTTATAAGCGATTGAGCTTAGTAGTTGTATGCGCCACTTGTTCACACAAGTCAAATATTATGATACATGTGTAAATATTTTGAAATTTATTATGTAATTATTAAATTATTCATTATAGAGTGTTGAATTTTTATTCTCAAGTTTTTTGTTAATAACTTGTTAATGAAAAATGAATTACAGCTAAAACTTTTAGAACGTTATTTTTTAATAAAAAAATGTTTTATGTATGAATATATATAAATATGTATTAAACATTACTTCTTATTATTATTTCTATTACACTACAAAGGAAAGAGATATGAACATGTATGGACATATTTCGATTATATACGCTTTTTTAGCGTTTTGTTAATACTTTGTAAGCGCTGTGTGCTATTTAAATATTCATGCATTAAACATTTTTTACCGGGGATATCACATTTTGTATGCTGATATTAACTGCGTTGTATTCTCTAATTGCCTATTATATTATGTTTTTTCACAATATACATATGTCATATGGTCAAGAACATTAAAACTGAGTCTACTCTTGTCATTATTTATTCATTTCGTATATATATGTATATAAATGAAACAAAACTTGTACATAATTCTCAGTCTTCGGTGCCATCAAATCAAGTACATCAGTTGGTCAGGTTGGAAAATCGATATTTATTTCTTTTAATCTCGCTTTGTATACTACTATAAATTTTTATTTAGATAATATACTATAAATAATATAAATACATGTATTATAAATAATGAATACTATTGGAGATAATGTTGCGCGTAATAGATATCACTGCGTATTCAACACTTATCATCAATATCATGGTGAAAGAATTACATTGGTGTGTGCAGTTCGGCCAAACCATGCCTACTTTTGCTTCGCATCGTCTATAATGGGAAGGAATTATCAAAATATGAAATTGTAAAACGCGAAACATGGGGCATTCATAGTTCATTTTTATTTTAAAATCGTCTTAAATACAGTCCTTGGATTGACTTATGACATCTTAACATTGTATTAAAGACTATCTTAAGTACAGTCTTAAAATGTCACAAGTCAATCCGAGAACTGTATTAGCATCTTAAGACTTATTTAAAATAAGAACAGACTATAAATACCATGTTTCGTGTTTCACAGTTGGTCCGAAAAAGTAGGCGTGGTTTGGTCACACACCATGTAATCCTTCCACAATGATATGAAGTATTCCCCTGTTACAGTCGAACAGGGGAATGCTTGACTGTAGTTGGTTCTCACATTCTTCCGGATTAAACTCTCGATGGAACTAAGCCATTGATGATAAGTGCTACGAACGCGCAATGATATCAATACGTGTACGCATCGTACTGTCTCCAGTATTCAGTTGATAGTATTTTTTGAAACTCATGAATCCATAGACAGAGAGAGCGGAGATTTAGAGAGAGACCGTCCAACTGCACACCATTTCACATATCATGTCCCTTCCATAGACGGTCCATAGAAAGAGACTGTCCATTTACACATACCTGACATGGGTGCTTTCCACAGTTTCCATTTGACACAAGTTGATACAAGCGTTGTTCTTCTTGACATTCGGAGAATGACAAAGATAAGACGACGCTTCGACAAACAACACGAAGTCGACTAAAAGTCGATTATAAGTTGAGAGAAGTCAAGAGTCGACTTCAAAGTTAGCCCGAATGTCGACTAATAGTCGACTAATACGAATGTTTAAAAAAAAGTTGACTAACAGTTGACATTCTAAGTCGACTATAAGTAGACTGGAGAAGTCAAGAATCGATTTTTTAGTCAAATCTGAATCGACTAATAGTCTATAGACATCTTTTCGTTTTGCTGAAAAAACAATCTAAAAACGATGTCTTTTTGTCATCATTTGTCGAAAAGACAATTTAAAAAAGATCTCTTTTCTACTGTTTCTTTTAAAATCAAATCGTTGCCTAGAATATATCATACTATTCTTTTATTATTTATTATTTATTTATTTATTTTATTATTAATTAATTTTTTTTACAACATTTTTTACAAACATTCTTTTTTTTATTTATTGTGTTACCATGTATGTAGTAGTGGTCTGGGTATATTAAACGCAAGAATTCAATTCCGAATACACGGCATTTATACGTTATTACGGCGTAACCTCTATCTCACGGATCTCGCTACAATATGAAAACTGAAGCACAGAGAACACCAATACAAAGTTTTTACGCCAGACAGACAATCCTTATTACAGGTATTTACCAAGCATAATAATAAAATAAAATATTAGTATTAAGAAGAGAGTCTTGTAAGATCTTGAAAAAAGTGCATTCTTTTATATATAAATTTTTTATATAATCTTAAACTTTTACCAGTACTTCGAAATTTTCAGTCAGTGATTTGTACTTTAGGCCATTAAGTATATTTTTATATAGCATATTTTTTTATTCTGGATTATATAATAACATTATTATTACGTTGTAAAAAATGTCGGACGTCATGTGACCGATGTCGTGACCTATATAGATTACGTTCCAAAACTTCCTCATTGAAGAAGATTTTACTCTATATGCTATAGTATACATTACGTATACTATATTTCGAGTAGAATTTTCCTCAGAAAGTTTTGGAATGTAGCTCTACTATGAATCCATTTCAAATATGCTGGGTTTGTTCGAAACGATCCCGAGCAATTCCCGAGAGACAAAACGAAAAATACTAATATATAACAAAATTTATTATATATCATATTAGGTATGCTAATATTAATGTTATGCTCTCAGTTACCCATTATACTATTTAAGATTATTTTAAATATTGAAGGCTGTTGTGAATTTGTACATATTGAATTTTTTATCAATTTTTAGATTTATATCTTTTTCTTGTCTTATTGTTTGTGATTTTATATCTAACATTCAACGAATATTATTCCACGGGAGAATTCCGTTAACACACAGTGCGATACCACACATCCAGGGTGCATTCCATTTCACACATGATGTGTATGATGAATCATACTTTATCCTTGTTTAACATTAGATAAGTAACAAGGATAAATGATGCTTTCCTGAAACGGAAGGCAGCTTTACTTATGGCCGAGTTAGGTTTTCTAGTAACTTTTGCTTTACCAGTGAGAATATTTTATTTTAAATTGGTCAATTAGCGATGCGGAACTCTTCCTCATGGATGTCATTTTGAATCAATAGATGCAATAAAAAAGAATACACTGCACTAGAGAACTTCACAGGGAGAGAGTGGCAAATTGTATCACGTGTATCTCGTTTCCTCTTGATTGGATATGGGCATCAAAGCTCCATAGGCATAGAAGAGATTGGAGAAAACTGGTCACCTGATTCCTGATTGGACGTGGAGTTCTTATTCACGAAGTATTATATACAATAATTTGCCACTTTCTCTTTGTGAATTCTACATTGCACGTTTTTTTAAAGATTATATTAGCCCGAAATCTACTATTAGGGTGCGTTCTGAATTACGCATAAATGCATGATATGATTGTTTTCCTTTTTTATTATTTCCTTCTTTATTATTTCCTTCTTTATTGTTTGGTAAACAACAAGGACAAATGATGCATCATGCATTTCATGCGTGACTCGGAATGCACCCTTAAATGTGCTTCAAGGATATATCGGAAGAAACGTTGGCATAAATATATTGCAGCATTAGTAGGAGGAGATTGTTTTGAAGAGAATCAAATAAATTTTTGACTAAATAGTTTATTTAGAGTTGGGAAGTAATGTGTTATCGTTTCCGTTACTTTTTTTCATTAACGATCGTTACTTTTTCTGTCTATAACGATAACAGTCATTACCATTACATTTTTATAGTAATGATAAACGAATTTAACCGTTACTTTTACCATTATTTTAGTTTCTTATTATTTTCTTATTTTATAATTTATTCTTAATTTCTTAACAAATATTTTGTGCTTAATATTTCATATTGTGTTCTAATAGGCACAATGTTGAAAATATATAATTTACATTACACATATATATATATATATAATATATACTGTAAATTTTTACAGTATGAACAATAAATATTGAAATACACATAATAGTAACCCTGGTGGAAATAAATCGCTGAAATCATTGAAATTGCTGAAATCTCTATCAATGACTCATTTCAAATCTCTATCAATTGACTCATTTTATTATGAATTATACTGAAATGGGTCCATTGATAAAGATTTCATCGATTTATTTTCACTAGGGAACATTAATGTTTAGAAACAATATTTAATCTATTAAACAATATTTAATCTGTTTAATCTAAATTCTTATAAAGAATACCTTAAAATAACGATATTAAGAAAATAAAGAATTAATAAAACTGATAGGTAAATTTAATATAGAGAAAAGTTTGTCCTGTACAAACTAGTTAGTAGAGAGTTTCCAATTTGAATATTTATTTTTCACATTTAATATTAAATTAATTATCAGCTAATGTAATTTGAAAATTTAATAATTTTAGCATTATAAAAAAAAGTAACGAAAAATTAAGAAATTGTTACTTTTCAAATAATAATAACGGTAACACCTTACTTTTTTGAGGTTACGCGTACAACCTTGGTTTTATTGGACCAATCGCGGTACTTTTGATCACTAGTATGTATATTATTTTTCTATTTTATATCTTGTTTGATAGGAAGTACAGGCTTTCTTGGAAAAATGTTGACAGAGAAACTATTACGAAGTTGCCCTGATATTTCTATGATATATCTAATAATACGTTCGCAAAAAGATAAATGCCCTGAAAACCGATTGGACGAAATGCTTGAAAATCCGGTCAGTATCTAACAAAACATAACATATTTGTGAATTGTTATATAAATCTATAATCCATAGCTTTATGACCATGTAAAAAAAGAAGTACCTAATTTTCGCAAAAAAATCGTACCAATCAGAGGAGATTTCAATATCAAAGATTTGGGATTGTCAGAAAGTGATAAAAACATGCTAATAAGTAAGGTAATTAAAATTACATTTATTACTCTCTCATCTATATACATTATATTTTAACGTAATATTAGTATGTCTAAAAAAAGCTTATATTATATAGTATAGTATTTTATATACTATACTAAGGTTTCACAGAATATTTGGAACAATTTTCATATGCAAATAGAGCGAATTAAACTGAGTCAAAAAGTACTCTACACCTTTTCAATTTTTGCAATAATTAACAAATTATTAATTATTAAAAATCATTGTTATATTAGCGCAGCCTATCGTCAAATACAAATGCATGGCGAGATGCAGTTATATAATCGTCCAGCGATCGAAGCGAACTAGATACGCGGCAAGTTGTTTACTACTAATAAAGTATTTATTTTATTTTAGTAACCTTAGTAATCACTGTGCTGCCTTTCTAAGTGCGCTTGCATTATTAGGCGGTAAGCCAAGCTAATATGGTGATTTTTAATAATTAATAACTCGTGCATTTGGTGAAATGGTCGGTCGAATATGTGCTTATTCGGTGATCTTTCGAAATTAATATCTCCTTAATTATTGCAAAAATTGAAAAGTTTTAAAGAACTTTTGGATTCAGTTTACTCCGTTCTATCTGCATATAAAAATTGTCCCAAATATTTTGGAACTTATATACACATATTATATATAGGGTGTCTCAAAAATAGAGTAGGAGCTGTATTGGGGGCATAGAATGGATCAATAAAAAAAGTCTTTAAGACTTTTTTTTTCTCTTGAATTCTACTCTCCCAATGCGGCCCCTATCCTATTTTTTAGATCTTGTATATGTATATATACAAGACCCCACAAGGATGGACCATTTTAATTTATTCAATCGATTTTTTAAAATCCATAAGTTTAAGGCAAAAACGTTTTAGACAAGAGTTTTATAGTTTCAAGGGGAAAAGAAATTAATGACCTTGTTGTTCTTGAGAAGATGGTCAGACCAAGTTATCTAAAATTTTTTAAATGGAACTCCTCATTTTTTTATTAAAAAATTATTCTTATAGTTGTCTTTAAGATCTTTTTTGAAAACACATAATAAAGTTCATTTTGACAAGAATTCTTTTCAGAATCTTTCAGAAAATTTTTTTTGCGTCTGAAAATGAATTCAGAATTGATGACATATCATTAAATTTTTTTTTAATTCTATCTAGGATAACTATCAACAAAGAAATAAATTCTCTCTTTTTTTTATATTTCTATTAAAATTATATTACTTAAAATAATGTGTAACGATTATTATTATAGGTATCCATAATTTTTCATATAGCAGCGAATATGAAGTTCTACGAAAAGATCAAAATTGCTACAATAGAAAACATTGATGCTACCGCTACCATCTTAAAACTTGCAAAACACATGCCAAATTTGAAGGTAATTGATCTAATAGTATATTTTAACAATAATAATTAGTAAGAA